ATGTTTACAGGCACACATACAATGTTAGTGATACACATACAATGTTTACAGACACACATACAATGTTTACAGACACATGTACAATGTAAGTGACAAACATACAATGTTTACAGGAACACACCGATGTTTACAGGAACACATACAATGTTACTGACACACATACAATGTTTACAGGCACACATACAATGTTACTGACACATGTACAATGTTTACTGACACACATACAATGTTTACAGGCATGTACACAATGTTACAGACACACATACATTGTTTACAGGCACACATACAATGTTTACAGGCATATATACAATGTTTACTGACACACATACAATGTTTACAGGCACATGTTCAATGTTTACAGGCACACACACGATGTTTACAGGCACACATACAATGTTAGTGATACACATACAATGTTTACAGACACACATACAATGTTTACAGACACATGTACAATGTAAGTGACAAACATACAATGTTTACAGGAACACACCGATGTTTACAGGAACACATACAATGTTACTGACACACATACAATGTTTACAGGCACACATACAATGTTACTGACACAAATACAATGTCTACAGACACATGTACAATGTTTACTGACACACATACAATGTTTACTGACACACATACAATGTTTACTGACACACATACAATGTTTACTTGCACACATGCAATGTTTACACGCACACACATAATGTTACTGACACATGTACAATGTTAACTGACACACATACAATGTTTACTGACACACATACAATGTTTACTGACACACATACAATGTTAACAGGCACGTACACAATGTTTACAGACACACATACATTGTTTACAGGCACACATACAATGTTTACAGGCATATATACAATGTTTACTGACACACATACAATGTTTACAGGCACACATACAATGTTTACAGACACGTGTACAATGTTAACAGACACGTGTACAATGTTTACAGACACATGTTCAATGTTAGTGACACACATACAATGTTTACAGGCACACATACAATGTTTACAGGCACACATATAATGTTTACTGACGTACATACAATGTTTACAGACACATGTACAATGTTTACAGGCACGTGTTCAATGTTTACAGGCACACACACAATGTTTACTGACACACATACAATGTTTACAGACACATGTACAATGTTTACAGACACATGTACAATGTTACTGACACATGTACAATGTTTAAAGACACATGTACAATGTCAGTGACACATGTACAAAGTTTACAGACACATGTACAATGTTTACAGACACATGTACAATGTTTATAGACACATATACAATGTTTACAGACACATGTACAATGTTTACAGACACATGTACAATGTTACTGACACATGTACAATGTTTACAGACACATGTACAATGTTTACAGACACATGTACAATGTTTACAGACACATGTACAATGTTACTGACACATGTTCCATGTTAACTGACACATGTTTTATGTTTATAACATACCTTAGGAAAATTTTGTAGGTGGTGAACGGTTGCTCGAATTTGCAAAGTCATATTGGCAACTGAAAGAGAGAAAAACGATAAGAAATGGATATTTCCTATCTATGTCTATATAATCTATGTAAACTTTTTAAATCTTCAAATCCAAAAACATGTATAATCCATTATTTATTGTTTAAGCATTTGTAAGTACATGAAATGATTAAGCAAAGCAACAAAAGGCTATAAAACAAAAGGCCCACTAGGCCTGTATCGCTCACCTGTATATCTAGGCAATCACAGCAAATTATTCTCCAAATGATATGCCAGACCCCAAGGCCAATCCTTGTAGTACACGTATATCTGTATTAGATTTGTTATGCCCAGCAATTTTATGTATGGTTATGGGGTGGGGATCTCAACTGTTTCCAGACTGTGACTCAGAAACTAGGTCCCTAGGGTTATGGCCAGACCCCAGGATAAATTATAATATCATGACTGCATTCGTCTCTTGATGCCCAGCATTTGTATTTATAGTTTTGGGGTGGGGATCTCAACTGTTTCAAAGTTATGACCCATAGGTTAAGTCTGTAAGGGTGGGGCAGACCCTGGGATCAATTCTTATATCATGACTGCATTCGTCTCTTTATGCCCAAAAATTGTATAGTTTTGGGGTGGGGATCTTAACTGTTTCGAAGTTATGACCCAGGGGTTAAGTCTCCAAGGGTGGGGCAGACCCCAAGGCCATCCTGGAAGCGTATGTGCATTCTTCTCTTTATACTCAGCAATTGTATATATGGTTAAAGGGTGGGGATCTCAACTGTTTCTAAGCTGTGCCTAAGAAACTAGGTCCCTAAGTTCTGTTTTTTACTACGTCAGTACGTACTGTATAACATATAACCCATAAAACTTATAGTGACTATTGCTTACCTGTATGTCCTCTATTAACATTGTATTATTACATACAGTAGATTTATAAGATATATATGTCATACTCTTACTGATTATAGCTCACCTAGCAAATAACATAATGTATATAGGGCCAACAAAGGGTTGATACAATTTACATATAGCAAAAAGAAGATTGAAGGACAGACTCGAAAACAAGCTGCTTTTACCCTTCATAGAGCTCTTTCGGTTTCTCTGTCTGTGGAGTGTGAAAAGATCTATTTTCTCTACACTTACTGAATTCACACAGACATTTTAATATTTTTTAGTATACATGTATATACATATAGACCTCTTCTGTGTTGACAGCCCATAAATAATGTAACAATAATAATTGTAATATACAAAGTAGGTTTACATGCAATGTCATGTAAAATCTACCATGCCTATGTCCTCTTATAATCACAAACATTAACACCGACGGGTGAGCAATGGCCCCATCCTAACCATATCTAGCTCTAAAACTGTTAAATCTACCATGCCTATGTCCTCTTATAATCACAAACACTAACACCGACGGGTGAGCAATGGCCCCATCCTAACCATATCTAGCTCTAAAACTGTAAAATCTACCATGCCTATGTTCTCTTATAATCACAAACATTAACACCGACGGGTCAGCAATGGCCCCATCCTAACCATATCTAGCTCTAAAACTGCCATTCAGAAGCAACAAGTCACTCTGGATATCAGAATATGAACAGAAAGGTATTACTATTTCCCATTATAGGTATGGATATTAGCCTGAAGGTTTCAGTCTAACCAGAGGCTCTTACAGCTATCGTGTACGGTCTAGAGGGATCTAGATAATAGTACCTTATTACAGGTGTCCACTATCTATTAAACACCAACAAAATTATAACAATAGAACAAAAATGATGGACATATATGTCTCCACAAACCAAGTACTGTTTACAATCACAGCAAACAAAGACAATTATCTAAAGGTCATACAACGTAGTTTAGATGTTATATCACCCATAATCTATTTTAATTAAGTCGCCTTGACCTCTGACCAGCAGCGATCTTATTTTCTAATTCCGATACATTTATTATGTTATTATTCACGTAGGGTATCCAGCGAATACCATTTACCACCAAAGTGTGTATCACCATGTACAATTTTAGAAATTTTAGAAATCTGATTTCTCAAGATAATCTCCCGAAACGAAATTGTGGAGGGACAGACAGACAGATGGACCCAGATATTTCTATAATGCACCGACATTTCTGATGCAGGGCCCTAATAAGACAATATCTTACTCTTACAAGTTATCTCTAATAAATGATGTTGTATGACAATGTATGAGAAGGTATATAAGAAGCTTACCGATCATCTCTCGCCTATGTTCCACCCCACATACTTTATGTATCATCTCCTTCATTGCAAATATTCGGTGAAATTTCTTCTGTAGCTGTAATAAAGTCCAGCACATCATGATAACAACAATCATGTAAGTATGGCATAACTGTGAAATCTGCAATAATGAATCTATCACTAAAACACACAACATATATAACTTTACTTTTATTCCATTTTATTGGCTGTTTTACATAAATGATTCATCAAAATGTACAAAGTATGTTTAAAACATTAAAGTCTATATAGGCATCATATCACGTTCTACCTAGGCATCATATCACGTTCTACCTAGGCATGCATCATATCACATTCTATCTAGGCATCATATCAAGTTCTATCTAGGCATCATATCATGTTCTATCTAGGCATCATATCACGTTCTACCTAGGCATCATATCACGTTCTACCAGGGCATGCATCATATCACATTCTATCTAGGCATCATTTCACGTTCTATCTAGGCATCATATCACGTTCTATCTAGACATGCATCATATCACGTTTTACCTAGGCATCATGTCACGTTCTATCAAGGCATCATGTCACGTTCTATCTAGGCATCATATCATGTTCTATCTAGGCATCATATCACGTTCTATCTTGGCTTCATATCACGTTCTATCTAGGCATGCATCATATCACGTTCTATATAGGCATCATGTCACGTTCTACCTAGGCATCATATCACGTTCTACCTAAGCATCATATCACGTTCTACCTAGGCATCATATCACGTTCTATCTAGGCATCATATCACGTTCTATCTAGGCATCATATCACATTCTATCTAGGCATGCATCATAACACGTTCTATCTAGGCATGTATCATATCACGTTCTATTTAGGCATCATATCATGTTCTATCTAGGCATTATATAACATTCTATCTAGGCATCATATCACGTTCTATCTAGGCAACATAGTGGAGGTAAACATTATTGAGGTTAGGTTTAAACATGTGAGGATCGTGCTGTTGAGACATAATGCATAGCTTGAAACTCGAAGAAAAAAAAAAGCCTTATACAGAAGTTAGACTTTTTATTGAACATGCAGGTATTACGGTGTAAACTAATCATTTAATCCATCAGAATTTACAAACCTCATCGGTTATATATATCTGCACAATATTTACAGCAATTATCACACGAAAAACCAAAGAGTGCCAGATGGGCGGAAGACAGGAAAAAAAACATTTTTATCAAGTTTGATGGGATTTGGCTAATATTTGCTAGAGTTATTAAGCGAAAACTGCACTTGTGTAAATGTGTAAAACCTATGCTAAAACAGGAGTATCTGTGATCAAGTAGCTGATATTTAATTTAAGACAGGTTTTAAGAAAAAAAATACTACTTGCGTGGGTCAAATTTGGGTTAAAAATCATGGTTATTTTGCATTTTTTGGCCTTTTTAAGATGTGGTAACCACGGTTTTCACAAGTCCCAAGTCTGGGGAAATCACTTTTTGAAAAAATATTCATTCTTCTAAAAAAAAACGTATTCAAATGTAGTTTATAAATATATATATATATATGTAGGTGTGTTGTGCAGGATGAATCTGCTATCCATGTTTATCCGAGACATGCCCTTTATTTTTAGGGTCAAGCCATTTCTACTGTACTCTGCTACCATAACTCCGCCAAATAGAGTCCGCTGAAAGTGGTCATCAAACGTGGCTGAGCCTGTAAGGCATTTAACCTTGTTACCAAGTTTGAAAAATTTGGTTAACATTTGTTGCAGTTATTGCACGGAAACGTAGTGTGACAGACAGACAGATGGACAGACGGACAAACCCAAATTAATATCCCCTTTTTCGTTGAAAGCGGGGGATAAATGATATCTCTGGAATAGTCCTCAAAAACAGGATGCCATGAATAAAATTGGTCAAGATATTCAAGTTTTCCCAGCATAAATAAGAAAATGGTTATGTTCTATTTTGCCAGGGAAACTTTTTTATTTCACTTAAATAATCTTACCCTATCAGCAAACTCGATAGAACATAACCTCTGGACAACTTCAGGTGCTCTGGAAAGGAGAGTATAGACTACTGAATGGCTGATACAAGTCTTATTACAACAAACTATTTCTAAAACCTTCAAACAGCTATAATACCATCAAAGAATGTTCCTCAATAAACCTTCACAAAGATGTCAATTTGCAACAAAAAACCCGCTCTCCTAGATCTTCTTTTTTTTAGAAAGGCTGCAGAATTATATTCCAGTATGCATAAATTGCCATTCTCATACTGAAACTGTATTTATATGTTTGTGAACCAAAAAATATTTGTGTTTCTGTCTTAGAAGGAGTTATTGTAACATATAACAAAACAAAATTATTGGTCCTGGTTTATTTCTTGTTGTGATCAATTGCAAAGCCTAATTTAACTTTATTAAAAACTCAACATTGTTCAGACCAAATTTTATATTCATCAAATGATATCAACAATAAAAAGAAAATGCTCTTAGATCATAGATGCAATGCAAGTACATTTTTGCAATCAAAATTGCCTGGTTAGATAAGAGAGTGCTATGTTTTACAATAGCAATACACCATTATATATATAGATATAGAAACAATGCACCAATATTGGATGGCTTATAATGAAGTGGGAGGGTGGAGTAACATTACACCAATATTGGTAGGCTTGTAATGAAGTGGGAGGGTGGGGTAACATTACGCCAATATTGGTAGGCTTATAATGAAGTGGGAGGGTGGGGAAACGTTACACCAATATTGGTATGCTTATAATGAAGTGGGACGGTGGGGTAACATTACACCAATATTGGTAGGCTTATAATGAAGTGGGAGGTTGGGGTAACATTACACCAATATTGGTAGGCTTATAATGAAGTTGGAGGGTGGAATAACAATACACCAATATTGGATGGCTTATAATGAAGTGGAAGGGTGGGGTAACATAAACCAATATTGGTAGGCTTATAATGAAGTGGGAGGGTGGGGTAACATTACACCAATATTGGTAGGCTTATAATGAAGTGGGAGGGTGGGGTAACAATGCACCAATATTGGTAGGCTTGTAATGAAGTGGAAGGGTGGGGTAACAATACACCAATATTGGTAGGCTTGTAATGAAGTGGGAGGGTGGTGTAACAATACACCAATATTGGATGGCTTATAATGAAGTGGGAGGGTGGTGTAACAATACACCAATATTGGTAGGCTTATAATGAAGTGGGAGGGTGGGGTAACAATACACCAATATTGGTAGGCTTATAATGAAGTGGGAGGGTGGGGTAACAATACACCAATATTGGTAGGCTTGTAATGAAGTGGGAGGGTGGGGTAACAATACACCAATATTGGTAGGCTTATAATGAAGTGGGAGGGTGGTGTAACAATACACCAATATTGGATGGCTTATAATGAAGTGGGAGGGTGGGGTAACAATACACCAATATTGGAAGGCTTATAATGAAGTGGGAGGGTGGGGTAACAATACACCAATATTGGTAGGCTTGTAATGAAGTGGGAGGGTGGTGTAACAATACACCAATATTGGATGGCTTATAATGAAGTGGGAGGGTGGGGTAACAATACACCAATATTGGTAGGCTTATAATGAAGTGGGAGGGTGGTGTAACAATACACCAATATTGGTAGGCTTATAATGAAGTGGGAGGGTGGGGTAACAATACACCAATATTGGTAGGCTTGTAATGAAGTGGGAGGGTGGTGTAACAATACACCAATATTGGATGGCTTATAATGAAGTGGGAGGGTGGGGTAACAATACACCAATATTGGATGGCTTATAATGAAGTGGGAGGGTGGGGTAACAATACACCAATATTGGATGGCTTATAATGAAGTGGGAGGGTGGGGTAACAATACACCAATATTGGATGGCTTATAATGAAGTGGGAGGGTGGGGTAACAATACACCAATATTGGATGGCTTATAATGAAGTGGGAAGGTGGGGTAACAGATAGGTTTATAATGAAGTGGGAGGGTGGGGTAACAGATAGGTTTATAATGAAGTGGGAGGGTGGGGTAACAGATAGGTTTATAATGAAGTGGGAGGGTGGGGTTACAGATAGGTTTGCTAAATGATACTTACTGCTTCAGTTCTTCAACACTATTGAACACAAACAAGGTATCGTTGGGGTTAAGTTTCCGTAATGGAGCCAGTTCACCTATAAATCAAAATTAACAACTCTTAAACTTGTTCGTGCAAAACCCTGGCTCAGCCAAAAGCATACAATGTAACTAGCCCATTAGGAACAAGAGACCCATAGGGCCTGTACCACCAGTTAGTCAACACTATTAGAAAATAGATCTATCATATCGGACCTTCTAAATGTCAAGCAACATTGGTATCCAGTTTTAAGGTTTGTACACATTTGTCTGCTGTCTGTTACAGTTATGGAATCACACAATGAACAGATGTGTGGTGTACACATTTGTCTGCTGTATGTTACAGTTATGGAATCACACAACGTACAGATGTGTGGTGTACACATTTGTCTGCTGTCTGTTACAGTTATGGAATCACACAATGTACAGATGTGTGGTGTACACATTTGTCTGCTGTCTGCTACAGTTATGGAATCACACAATGTGCATATGTGTGGTGTACACATTTGCCTGCTGTCTGTTACAGTTATGGAATCACACAACGTACAGATGTGTGGTGTGCATACGCTTTGCAGCAATGTGTGCATGACACAAACTATATTTCAGTGTATGTTACCATTAATTTTCATTTAGATTTGTTAGCTTAATGTATATATTTTTGTTTTCAGGTTTTTTTAAGTGACCCAAGTTGACACGTGTAACACATACATCAGATACAGTCCCTTACACATATACAGATAGTCAACTTGTACCTGGACACAACATGCGTTTAACAAACATGTAACCTACGATTGTTTTTATTAACGTAACACAGCATCACTGATCAATTCTCTGAGTTGGACATAGGCCAGACATGATCTGACACACCCGAGTGATGCTTGGGATGAGGGTCGGTTTACGGTTTTCTGAATAAGGGGATTGTTCATTTGTCTTCTTTTAGATTATAAACAAGTCATTTATATAATAAAACCACTTTCATTACCGGTAAACAGTCAGTTTTGAATTTTCCCTTGGGTGGTTGCTTCATACAGATTTGGCAGTAAATGTTCAGTTTTGGACACTAAACATCTTTTGTTTAAGGTTTCACAAAAAAATACAAGATTATTGATTTTAGTACGCAGGACTATTTTAGAAGACAAGTCCAATTACTAGGAGATATATTAGGTTCTCAAAATGTGGGTAAGTCTCGCATGAAAAGCATGAATCCAAAACTCAAATATTTTTCTCTCATATCCGGTCATGTAAGATAATGCTGGCAATGTAAGATAGCCATGTTTGTGGAGTGCAAACTCTGTTTGTGGAGTACAAACTCTGTTTGTGGAGTACAAACTCTGTTTGCAATTATGGGGTATGCTAAATCTCGCTGACGAATTCATTTTCGTCTAAAAAGCTCAGGGGAAAAATTGATATTTTTAAATAGTAGCCAGTCCAAATGCATTTTCATGGTTTCTGAGCTTATTCCTGTTGTTGGAATGAGAGAAAACTACTCTTTCATGCCAAAGGGTGTAGGATAGGGAAATTCCACCCTTGGGATTTTCAAATTTGGCAAAACCCACGGCATAGCCTCAGGTTTTATCAAATTTGAAAACCCCTCGTTTGGAATTTCCCTATCCTACACCCCTGGGCATGAAAGAGTCTTATAGTCTCCAAAAAGATACAAATCATATATCAGATCACTGAAAGGCAGCAAATCTGACACCAAATAATGTATAATGAATTACGTACCTGAATAATCAAATTTGTCTATTTTTCCTCTGATAGTGCTTGGATCTCTGACTGGTTCATATTCATTCTCAGTGGTAATGTTTCTCACATGTCTGACCACCAGCATTGAGGGCATGCAATCTGATAAAAAATGTACACAGATAATTGAGGGCATTTGCAATGAGTGACAAATCATGCAAGAAAACGATATCTACTACTGAAGTACGTTTCAATTGTTTGGTTAGCAGAGGAAAAGTTAGAATTGGGAAAGAATATTTTTTTTTAAATTTTGTTGATATATATTTAGTAGTCATCCCCATCCCCAGGGCGAAATGATAACAGATTTTTCACTTTGCATCCAGCCCCTAAGAGGGTTACGAAAGGGAAGGGATGTACGGTTATTACTTTACACAAACAGGTTTTTTACTTTAATATAAACTACCAGTATAGTGAACTTTAACCCTCCCCAGAATGGAATGAATGACCTTGGGTTATGAAATTCACAATGCTTTAGATAATTAAGTACTTTTAAGTACTTTGGGACATTCTCCATTAACTGATGGAGAGTAAGTATTCTAGTATTTCTAGGCATGAAGATTTATAAATCCAATGTATGACCTTTTGAACCCCCACCCCTCCCCCACACCACCAAGGCTCCTTTTCCTCAGGCCCCATGCCAGGGTCAAGATCTTAGTTCTAATACCATCCACCACAGTCCAATTATTACACTTCCAAACAGGCATGTTCGACGGATTAATTTCTGATCATTAACCAGAGGCCCAATACACTTCTATTGATCACCAGCTCACATCTTAATGAAAACTACAATACACACATGACAAAATATTGATCTTAATTTCATCATAGCTCTGTCAACTTTATACTGAAATGTAGGAAACTTTGTATATAAGTGTATTACAGCTGATTTACATTATCACCTGCTGCCCAGCAATGATATATGGTTATGAGGAGGGGATCTCAACGATTTCAAAGTTATATGTGTATATATTTTTTGTTTCAATAAGCTTTATTTCTTTTACAACAATTATAAAACAACTTATTTCAACTTATATTAATCACTCTTATTGGCCCGGATGTTAGAACAAAGGGGGTCTTAATGTGGGAGGAAACCGGAGTACCCGGAGAAATGGTTAGGCAGGTGGCCCATACCTCTTAGCTTTTACCTGCCAATGGGGAATCAAACCCTGGAGGCTTTGGTGAAAGGCAAGTGCGCTATCCAGTGCACCACCCGACCATGCTATGGTTATGGGGTGGGGATCTCATCTGTTTCAAAGTTATGGTCCAAAAACTAAGTCCCTAGTGGTTGGGCCAGACCCAAGAGTCAATACTGATATCATGATTGTGTCTGTCTCTTAATGCCAAGCAATGGTATATATGGTTATGGAGTGGGAATCTCAACCATTTCAAAGTTATGACACAAGAACTAAGTCCCTTGGGGTAGGGCCAGACCTTAGGATCAATCCTTATATCATAATTGTGCTCGTGTCTTGATGCCCAGCTGAATGGTATACATGGTTATAGGATGGGGATATATCGATCTTGATAATGTCAAAGTTAAAAATTCTTTTCAGTCCTGCTTTTCAGATCCAGGGGTCAGCCCTTAAACAAATATTTGTTCAGTGATTAACAAGTTATGGGTCAAGAAAAACAAAAATTTATGATGAAATTTGAAATTGTTCATCATTTTTCACTTGATTCATTCTGACAACCACTATTGCGATTATTTTGTAACATGTATTTGTAACAGTGGTAATTATCTTTTTCAATTCTCCGCTAGGAGTCGAACCCGAATCCCTCTTCTAGATTGGTTTTCAAACAAAAATTGGTCAACTATTTATCATGATATGTGAATTTATTTGTAACAGTTGAAAACTTTGTCATTTTTATTTCATAGTGGTTCATTCCACCACAACTTTTATTTATTTATTCTAGCTATTGCTTAGCATAATTTACACAGTTGTAACAGGTATAAAATTATCTTTCCTATGCTATAATAAAAAATTGTTATGTATTATTTTAGATAAGACCTTATAAATACAAAAATTCACCTAAAATCTCTTCATGCCCGAGTGCATTCCGGGTTGTGACATTACCCACTCCACATAAAGGACAATCTCACTAGACGCGGCTAACGAATGACAGGAAAAACAGTGCGAACAGTACCTGCCCTACAGCTGTATGGACCTGGGTCGTTTTGCCATTGTTCTTACTACGGATCGTTTCGCCCTAAATCCAGTTCCACCAATGTTGCCCTAATATAAAGATATATTTTAAAGTTATGAATATCAGTTGAAATGTTTTCACTTATCAAAAACCTTTTTCGTGTTTCACCATGGAATTAGATCAAAGTCTGTTTTTTAAGAGCAAATGTCTTGTCTAAAAGGACCTTCTGCTTCTGCCTGGTAATAGCCTCCTTCAACAGATTGAAGATTCTGCTATGTTCGTAGGTGGTGTGCATGGTGCTGGACTGACGTCGAAAGGTTAAAAGTTATTAAAAACTGGATAAAAACAAAGGACCTCAGAGTTTTGACACACTGGCCTTGAAGGCGTCCAGTGTGTTGGTGAAGGTGATGTCTGGCGGGAGGGTGTTCCAGTCTCTCACCGTCCTGGGGAAGAAGAACATCTTCCTTGTGTCGATCCTGCTTGTGAGGAGCTGGTAGGATCTGGCATGGACAGATCTACCGAGTCTGCGAGGTAATAGCAGCCTACTGCCTTTACGTATCGCAACTAGGCCTCGGTCAATCCTGTACAACATAGCCAGACGAGCGTCATGGCGTCTTTTCTGGAGTTATCTCCACCCAAGTACGTCGAGCATGCTGGAGACACTGGAGGTGTTTCTGTGGCGGCAGGTCACGTACCGCGCTGCTCTTCTCTGTATTTGCTCGATTTGATTGAAGTTCACCTTGGTGTGGGGGTCCCAAACAGTGCAGGCATACTCCAGCAGGGGTCTTACAAGCGCGAAGTATGCCATAGATTTTATCTTGGTAGAAGAGATCTGCAGGGTCCTACGCAGGAAGCCCAGCGTCCTGTTTGCCTTGCCAACAATCTTCTGGATGTGTGTGTCCCACTTCATGGTGTTTGATATGGGGACGCCAAGGTATACTGCTGACTGGACTTCTTGCAAGGAATGGCTGTGTAGGTGGTAATCGGTCTTAATTGGGTTTCTCTTATTGGTGACTCTCAAGATCTTGCACTTGTCCGGGTGGAACTTCAAACACCACTGATCCTCCCAACATCCCAGCTTGTTTAGATCCTCCTGCAGGGTCTTACCGCTGTTTTCTAAGGTAATGGTGAGGTAGGCAATAGTGTTGTCGGCAAACAACCGGACAGTAGATGTTAGATTGTCGTGCAGGTCGTTGATATAGAATAGGAAGAGGCTTGGTCCGAGGACTGATCCCTGCGGGACACCAGAGTCGACGCTCACAGATGTAGACCTCTTTCCTTCTACGACGACTGACTGTGAACGTCCTAAGAGCCAGTTCTGGATCCATGTATTGATCCTGCCTTGGATGCCGTACTCATGGAGCTTATGGACGAGTAGGCTGTGATTAACCATGTCGAAATCCATGATAAGGGCATCTGTCTGTTGGCCCGAGTCAAAGCATAGGAGACATAGCAAAAACTTCAAATTAGACTACACTAGCCATACACAACTAAATAGGACTAAACAAATCAACTTAATGCGCGAAACGACCCGGGCGCACATGATTTAGAACGAAACGACCCGATAACTCTGTGGATTAGCCAGATCATCCTCGATAATCCACAAGTTACTATCGCTTTCGCTCTCTGCACCCCTGGAATATGTCATAGTAAAATAAAAGGCTCAGTACTCATCTCGTGGGTGAGACGAAAAGACTAGTTTGATCCTATGACGTACATCAAAAGAATCTCGCGGTTGCGGAACGGTAAAAATTGACAGACTTTGAAGTCGGATGTTGCTCCTTTGTAATCTTCAAAGGACAGGTATCAGTCTAGCGATTGGTCAGATTTTTAACTGCGACCAATCCAACAGCTGTCTTTGTGCATTCAATTTTGCTATGACATATTCCAGGGGTGCAGAAAGTGAGCATAACCCCTCTGGAGTGTCGAGGATGCAGCCAGATTTCCCGGCGCCCAAGTACATATTTACTGCACACTTCTACCATAATATATAACTTTGGATTGAGAGAGTTAACATTAGCCTATATTTATTTAATTGTTTAGGTGACTCGCTTTTCATTAGCTAAACCACGTAACTTACAGTTTTTATACGCTTCTGTCTCATTTCTGTTTTGTTTGGGGTCAAATCTTGCATTTTGAAAAGCTGAAAATGATTGTGAATGCTGTGTTGTACTCCAAACCTGACACTTATGTGTAACAAGCTTTTGTAAGTCTTTCTTTGGTAAAGATGATCTCAAAATATTAGTAAAACATCTTGAAAACATATGGAAATTCATCATTTACACACGCGTTAAAACGGAAATGCCACCATTTTAAAACGGAAGCGGAAACTAGATCGTTACCTTAACAACACTGACATTCATCCGGGCCTGTGTTTGTTGTTGCTTGACTACCACACCAGTTGTTGACTCCATGATCAACCGTGTGTTGTGTTTCATGCGTACAGTATAATAGACTATTGCAGTGAGATAAAGTAAGGCCGAAAGGCGCACGATAAAACATAAAGATGCCACAGGAAACGTTAAGAGCCAAGACTAAGTATTCAAAGGAGGCTAATGACAAATGCATCATACCGAGATGCCAACCTTTTACAGTTCAGGCTATGAGAAAAGGATGTGAGGTAAGGTGGTGAAATAAGGATTGAATGTTTATCATTGTGTGTTGATCTCGTAACATAGGTATTCAAGATTTGTTTAAACGAATCAAGGAACTAACAATGACCATAATTATAATGATTTCAACAGTTAATACCGTACTGTACGGTAGCAGGTTGGTGACCAAGTTCGGGCTACAGAAACTAGGCCTACCGGGTTCCAAAACTTAACTACTACAGTAGTCTTGATCTAATACTCACCAATTCTAGTGTCCTAGCCATTAAATTGGAATCTGCCGAATAAACGAATGCGAGGAAAGTAAAACAATGTATTTTTTAGCAACAACGTGTATATAGTCTTTAATTTTATATGAAAAACTTTCATTACAATGACAAACTCTTCAGTCCTGTTGCCATTGAACGACGCCATTGCCAGACCTGCCAAACATTGCTAAGTGTAAGGTGACAGTACCAAAGTCGGATCACCAAACCATCATCTTATTCAATCATTGAAAAATCTGAGGAGGAATTATATTCAATTATGGTTGTATCAAAGGAAGAATATCGATGGGTGTTCTTACAAACGAAATTAGCATCGGGGGCTAACTTAAGATATTTATAGAACACTCTGAAGTCACCTATAAGCTCTCTGTTTTTTTGCGAATGTCAGGACCCAAATCGGATCAAGACTTGAATATTGCAGTGCCTAACGCTTCAAATGAATATTTTTTTGTCAGCATATTAACGATGACCTTTATAATTTCTATTCATGACAAAAAGCATTTCTATAGTGTGAATTTATTCCTATAGTCCAAAACAGAATGCATGCATAGTCGTCGCACGCGCCATTTTTTTAAAAAGAAATCAAAACACTGACATTTGAGTTTGAATTCCGTTTCCTTGTGCTGGTTGAACTTAAAAACTAATCATCTGTAGACAAAAAATGGTGCATGGCTATCTATTCTAAGACAACATCATTTTCAAAATGATTTTTATATACAATGAGCGTCATATCAAAAAAGATGGACATAATCTAGTAAATCAAAATCAATTGACAGTTAGAATACAGAATCAACCACATTTTAACGACAGAAATTTACAATAAACCACTCAATTATTTCAATTTCCTGCAGATAGCTTGCATTGTTGCATTTAGGTTCCACATCAGTGACAACACAACCTGTCATTGAGAGAAAAATTTGGAAGTGACTGTTTATTACTTTTAAACTAGAGAATTAAAATCTATGGTTGACGAATTAAATCAAATACGAAAACAGATGTTGACTAATAACATATATCTGGAATAGATATTATGCTAGACAAATACATAAAATTCATTTTATGATCATCAACAATTACTTCATTTATCAATTCTTCAATTTCAGACTGATGTCGGCATGCCTCCGATGGCAGGTGCCTTTAGAGCAAGAAATAAGTCAACCGCCACATCATTTCATAAGTTCTACGAGAGGGGAGATTTCCCAATAGCCTTAGAACATGACACAAAAGGCAATAAGATTGCATGGAAGGTATAAATGATGTTCACTGGTAAAGTTATTACAATCTGAGAGTGCTGTATTCCATGTATATAAATAACCCTTTTATAATGGAACTGGCTAAAAATGTACGCTGCTTTGTTAGATAAAAACAAAGCAAGCATTATAAAGATAGCATAATACTTTAATAGGCGACTTTATTTGGAAAGTGATAAACCTGTAATCCCTAATGTCTAAACTATTCTCTTTTCATTTGAATGTCCTACATGATGTATTGTCACACCCTGTTATCGGTTAACAAAATCTCTTGCCAGATGTTAGATGTTGGCAGTGGAATTTTTAAGGTTTTACTGAGACCCTTTCAAAAAACTAGCATTATATATTGATCAAAATTGTTTCTCTTTTTAGGTTGAGATTGAGAAACTTGACTATCACCATTATCTTCCACTGTTTTTCGATGGATTATGTGAAACTGATCATCCTCACGAGTTCTTTTCAAGACAAGGAGTTCACGACATGTTAGAGCATGGAGGGTCAAAAATACTGCCTGTTATTCCTCAACTTATCATTCCTCTCAAAAGTAAGGAGCTAAATTTCACAATTTCAAGTATGCTTTGCAAATATGTACATTTTCTAAATGTCATGAATTCTAACATCAAACATGTATAATATAGATTACACAAGGTTTTAGTCAAACCAACTATCAATTATAAAATTTAAACTGATAACCACAACTAGTAATAGCAAGTATGGTTATTGACATTATCTCTTAGAAAGTGTAGTTATTTGCAAAGTTAAAACATCAAGCAGATGTACAAAAATATTGCGATACAGCAATATATGTTTTATATATATCTCTGTATTGCAGGCAAAACGTTATGCCTGTGTATTGCCATATTCCAATAAAGTGTGACAGCCCTAAAATAGTCTTACTAAATCACCTCATCAATTACGGAATGCTTTTGATAATGAATTATAACCATGATGATTGGGTGTATGGGGTCATACCTGCCTGACCACGTGGGTTTTCTCAGTGAACTCCATTTTCCTCCTACAATAAGACCCCACATGCTAACATCCAGGCCAACAAGATTGATTATAACTTGTTTCATACTTGTTGTAAAATAGATACAGTTTATATTATGTATATATGTTTCTATTAGAAACATTTGACATATATACATCAGTAGAATGATATGTACATAATTGACAGGTATTATGAGGTATACTGAAGGTATGTTATTATGTTTACAGTATATGACCTTGTTTATGTATGTTACTATGTCTACATGGGTTACTAGGTTTATGTATGTTACTATGTCTACATGGGTTACTACATTAACATCTGCTACTAGGTTTATGTATGTTACTAGGTTTACATATGTTACTATGTTTACATATGTTACTAGGTTTATATATGTTACTGTTTACAAATGTAACTATGGTTACAGATGTAATAATATCAGCTTTTTTCCTAATTTTTACTTGCTTTTGTGCAGATGCCTTGAACACAAGAAAAAAACCTGTAGTGTGCACCACGCTGAAAGTGCTGCAGCACTTGGTGGTGTCAGCAGACATGGTCGGGGAAGCACTGGTGCCTTACTACAGACAGATCCTCCCAATCCTCAATATATTTAAAAACAGCAATGGTAGGTTTTTATTTGATTAGAAATTGGTAGACAATTCGGGAAGTTTAAACAATATCTGCGAATTAAAATTAAAATGTTCAAATTAACAAAAATATTACATGACAAAAGGATTTAATTAGTTGCTGGAGTGAGGTTAGTACTCAGTAGTTGATATAATTTTTCCAATCACATAAACAATTAATTAAAAATTTTCAACAAACTATATACCCGGTATATACATTTCTAAATAACCATGTAATTGATTGCTTGCAGTGAATTCTGGTGACGGTATTGACTACAGCCAGCAGAAGAGGGAAAATGTTGGAGATCTCATCCAAGAAACACTGGAGAGCTTTGAGAGGCACGGTGGAGAGGATGCATTTATTAATATCAAATACATGGTTCCAACATATGAATCCTGTATGCTAAATTGATAAGTTTCATATTGTACAAGTGTGAAATAAGTAACTTTTACATTTGGAAGACGTTTGATCAAACTGGAACTATTGGAGAGTTTGTTAGCTTTACAGAGTTACCGGCTTACTAAGATTTACATGGATATACCATAATACCATCATATTGAAAACTTAACAGAAAAACTAAGTACAAGACAACTCTCTTGCATAGTTTTTTTTTTTTCAGGTCTTTCTCCAGTCAACTAATTATTAGGAAATGTGTGTGTATCATTGAAACACCCAAGTGTATATTGCAGCCATTAGTTGTTTGCCACTGAAGTTTGTGTAAAATCTGAGATGGCTGTTTTATAATCAGTACTAAGTTTCACCCTCACCCTATGATGTTTTTTCTCGTGTCAGATACATGAACAGTGAATGTCCTCTTTGTTTTTAATTCAGGTTTGTAAAGTTGTACCGACTACACCATTACTCAGATTTTAAATTGGTAATATGAAACTGCAGTCCTGTTTTATCTTTTATGTAAAAATTTCAAGTTGACAAGTATTTTGTCAAAAGATGCTCACAAATTGGCATCCATACATTTTGACAAGTACCAAGTTTGTGCATGGAAATATTTGATAAAAAGTGATTTGTCAAATTACTTTTATAATCATTTTGTGCTTCATTGGTTTGAAACACATCAGTACACGTTGTGTATCAGTTCATCTATGTATATATAAAGCTTCATCCTCTCTATCAGCTGGATAAGTCGTGTATTTCTGCTATGTGAATTTAAAACTAAACATTCTGCTCTATATCCTTATAGATTAAGAAACAAGACTGTCAAGGCTACAGCTGTGTAAATGACTCCATTTGTTACATTCTTGTGTTGACTGTGTTATAAAGAACACACAGCCATATTTAGTATAGGACCTGTACCTGAGAACACGATAATATGAAGTCACATGTTTTTGATTTGTATAGATAAGCTTGCTGGTGATATAATTGATCCTATATTAAATAATTATCAATACATGTCTCTGGTGTTCTATGTCATTAGTGTATTTATCAACGTTTTCTGTCGCCAACCAGAGATTCTTTACCAGGACCAGTTAATGGTAACAGCCAAGGTATACGAGGGGAAAACTGCCTTACTGGCAAGCTAGCTTTCCAGTGACGTAGTATGACTCTGGGACTCACTCACTAGTTCTGCAACATCGAATGTGGTCCGTAGCTGGATGGGTGACTATAACATTGATGTTATTGGCACCAAGTCACTATAACATTGATAGTATTGGCATCAAGTCACTATAACATTGATATTATTGGCATAAAGTCACTATTACATTGATATTATTGGCATCAAGTCACTATAACATCAATGTTATAGTGACTTTATGCCAATAATATCACTGTTATAGTGACTTGATGTTAATAATATCAATGTTATAGCGACTTGATGCCAATAATATCCCATGTTATAGTGACTTGATGTCGATAATATCAATGTTATAGAGCCTTGATGTCAATAATATAAATGTTATAGTGACTTGCTGCCAAAAATATCAATGTAATAGTTACTTTATGCCAATAATATCACTGTTATAGTGACTTGATGTCGATAATATCAATGTTATAGAGACTTGATATCAATAATATCAATGTAATAGAGACTTTATGCCAGTAATATCAATGTTATAGCGACTTGATGCCAATAATATCCCATGTTATAGTGACTTGAAGCCAAAAATATCAATGTAATAGTGACTTTATGCCAATAAGATCAATGTTATAGACTTGCTGTCAATAATATCAATGCTATAGTGACTTGATGTCAACAATATCAATGTTATAGTCACTTGCTGCCAATAATATCAATGTAATAGAGACTTTATGCCAGTAATATCAATGTTATAGAGCCTTGATGTCAATAATATCTATGTTATAGTGACTTGAAGCCAAAAATATCAATGTAATAGTTACTTTATGCCAATAATATCACTGTTATAGTGACTTGATGATCCATGTTATAGTGACTTGATGTTAATAATATCAATGTTATTGTGACTTGATGCCAATAATTATAGACTGTTGAAGTGACTTTATTTCCGTTTATATCCTGTTGAAGTGACTTTATATCCGTTCATATCCTGTTGAAGTGACTATATATCCGTTTATATCCTGTCGAAGTGACTTTATATCCGTTTATATCCTGTTGAAGTGACTATATCTCCATTGGCATCAAGTCACTATAGCATTGATATTATTGACAGCAAGTCTATAACATTGATCTTATTGGCATAAAGTCACTATTACATTGATATTTTTGGCAGCAAGTCACTATAACATTGAGATTATTGACATCAAGTCCCTATAACATTGATATTATTAACATCAAGTCACTATAACAGTGATATTATTGGCATAAAGTCCCTATTTCATTGATATTATTGGCAGCAAGTGACTATAACATTGATGTTATTGGAACCAAGTCACTATAACATGGATATCAAAGGCACCATATCATTATAACATGGATCATCAAGTCACTATAACATTGATATTATTGACATCAAGTTACTATAACATTGATATTATTGACATCAAGTCTATAACATTGATATTATTGACATCAAGTCTCTATAACATTGATATTATTGGCATCAAGTCACTATTACATTGATATTTTTGGCATCAAGTCACTATAACATTGATATTTTTTGACATCAAGTCACTATAACATTGATATTATTGACATCAAGTCACTATAACATTGATATTATTGGCATCAAGTCACTATAACATTGATATTATTGGCATCAAGTCACTATAAAACTATTAAAGGAGGCACAGTAGTCCAGTGGTAGGAAGCCGGGCGCATGACCGAAGGGTTGCAGGTTTGCGCCACGGCACAGCAATGTGTTGTACCTTTGAGCAAGATACTTTATTCTGCTTGTTCCAGTCTATTCAGCTGTAAATGAGTATGTGGTTGGGCAGTGCTAGAATTGTTGAATGCTAGCTGTTTGCGCCGAAATGGCAGTTCCAGCTGTATGCTCCCCAGGGAGTTGAGAAAGGGATTGGCTGGTTGCAAAGGCCCTATAACCACGGATAATAATTTGTGAACCGCTTTGAGACGACCTACGAACTAGGTAGGATAAAGCGGTATGTAAGAACCTCCAATTATTATATTACTATTATAACATGGATATCAAAGGCACCAAGTCACTATAACATGGATATCAAAGGCACCATATCACTATAACATGGATCATCATAGGCACCAAGTCACTATAACATGGATCATCATAGGCACCAAGTCACTATAACACAGTATCTAAATGGCATCAGATCACTTTGTTGGTGATGTCATTGGCATCAAATCACTTCAAGAAAGATCGTTATGTAATGTACATTTCCATTTATATCCTGTTGAAGTGACTTTATTTCTGTTTATAGCCTGTTGAAGTGACTTTATATCCGTTTATATCCTGTTGAAGTGACTTTATTTCTGTTTATAGCCTGTTGAAGAGACTTTATATCCGTTTATATCCTGATGAAGTGACTTTATATCCGTTTATTATAAGCCTGTTGAAGTGACTATATATCCGTGTATAGCCTGTTGAAGTGACTTTATATCCGTTTATTATAAGCCTGTTGAAGTGACTTTATATCCGTTTATATCCTGTTGAAGTGACTTTATATCTGTTTATTATAAGCCTGTTGAAGTGACTATATATCCATTTATAGCCTGTTGAAGTGACTATATATCCGTTTATTATAAGCCTGTTGAAGTGACTATATATCTGTTTATAGCCTGTTGAAGTGACTTTATATCCGTTTATAGCCTGTTGAGGTGACTTTATTTCCGTTTATATCCTGTTGAAGTGACTTTATATCCGTTTATTATAAGCCTGTTGAAGTGACTTTACATCCGTTTATATCCTGTTGAAGTGACTTTATATCCGTTTATTATAAGCCTGTTGAAGTGACTATATATCCATTTATAGCCTGTTGAAGTGACTATATATCCGTTTATTGTAAGCCTGTTGAAGTGACTATATATCTGTTTATATCCTGTTGAAGTGACTTTATATCCGTTTATTATAAGCCTGTTGAAGTGACTTTATATCCGTTTATAGCCTGTTGAAGTGACTTTATATCCGTTTATATCCCGTTGAAGTGACTTTATTTCCGTTTATATCCTGTTGAAGTGACTTTATATCCGTTTATATCCTGTTGAAGTGACTTTATATCCGTTCATATCCTGTTGAAGTGACTTTATTTCCGTTTATATCCTGTTGAAGTGACTTATATCCGTTTATAGCCTGTTGAAGTGACTTTATATCCGTTTATATCCTGTTGAAGTGACTTTATTTCCGTTTATATCCTGTTGAAGTGACTTATATCCGTTGATATCCTGTTGAAATGACTTTATATCCGTTTATAGACGCTGAAGTGACTTTGTTTCCGTTTATAGCCTGTTGAAGTGATGACATTTGATGTAAACAGATTGATCCCTGACATCTTTATGAAAGAGACTTGATGCAATGATATGTCTGTTTAAGTAACAAGATGAAAATGGCATTTTTAGCTCTTAACTCACCTGGCACAAAGTGCAACTGAGTTTATGGTTTTGGTAGTGCATCTGTCATCCTTGTTTGATTTTTTTTTCCTTGAAGAAATTTTCAATAATAATGCAAGCCCTTGCAGGGTGATTGTATTTTGCCAGAAGCTTGGTGCCTGGGATATATCAGTGCTTTAACGCTTCAATAAATAAATGACTCTGCTGTCAGGGACAAATATGTACAACAAGTTCTTCTGAATAACCAAAACGCTTGGGTGATAATGTTAAGCCAGTAGAATACTGGGATGGAGTGCTGCAAACTTTCCTGAAATACACTACCTAGACTTACTTTTAAGGTCACAGGCACCAAATATGTAAAAATGATAAAACTTCGGCAACTTCTTCTGAATAACCAGGAGACCCAGGGCAATCATGCTTGGGCAGTAACATTGTGCATACTATACCGGTAATGGAATGACCCTGATCTACTTAAAAGGTCACAAAGGTAAAAAAAACACCTAAACTTTTAAGGAACTTATTCTGAATAACTAAGAGGCCCAGAGTACTGGTATTTGGCAAGTACAAATGATATTCAATTGACTTTATGACACTAGCATCCCTCTCCATCCCCTGTTGAAGTGTCTGGATGCCAATGATAATCACTGTAATTGTGACTTGATGCAAATGATGTCCAGATAAATAGATTGATACCAATGACATCACTTTTAATGTGGTTTATCTCAATGACCTGCCTGTAAAAGTGTCTCAACGCTAATTACATCCTGATTAAAGTGACTTGATGCTCATGGCATCACTAACAGTGACTTGATGCCAATGATATCATGTAAAAGTGTTTTGATACAAATGACTAAAAGATATGGATTAATTAGGTTGCCTTACAAGCATCAGCTGTAGGGAATTTCCCTCTAGCTCAGCGGTAGAGCATCAGGCTGGAGAGCCAAGGGTCGAGGTTGGAGCCCCAGCGACGGCACTATCTTTATCCCTCTTCCTATTACATGACTTCACTGTAACAGTATTTGATGTCAATGAGTCCCGTTTATGATACATTATGCCAGTGTTTTATTGAATCACTGCAAGCAATAACTGTTAAAATGGCGAAATGCATGGCATCACTGTTAAATGATTTGGTGCCAATGACATATCCCTGTGAACATGACAAGAAAACCCGAAGTCAAGTAAAAGTATGGCAATGCTATGCCTGTTTGACATGGAGTCCAACTTGAGAAGAAATTTAAATATATGAAAATGTACCCTGTTTTATTGACTTGATGCTAATTATGACTTAATGCTAATTTCATGTATATTCATGTAACAGGGACTTGATGCTAACTGTATCCCTATTATAATGAGTCGCTGCTAATTATATCACTGAAACAGTGACATGATGCCAATGATATCCCTGTAACAGTGACATGATACCAAATATATCACTGTTAAAATGACTTGAT